TTTCACGCTTCCGGCCTCTCCACAGCAGAATGGGGTTGCTGAGCGCCGCATTGGCTTGGTCATGGAGATCGCTCGTACCTCCTTGATCCATGCGGCTGCCCCCCATTTCCTGTGGCCGTTTGCAGTCCAGTACGCTGCGCATCAGCTCAACCTCTGGCCCCGTGTCTCCGCTCCGGAGACCTCGCCCACACTGCTGTGGACGGGGCAGGTTGGCGATGCGTCGCGTTACCGGGTCTGGGGTGCTCGTGCCTTTGTCCGCGATACCACTGCGGACAAGCTCTCCGCCCGTGCTGTGCCTTGTGTCTTCCTTGGCTTTGTCCCCGACGCGCCTGGTTGGCAGTTTTACCACCCCACCTCGCGCCGTGTCTTCCCCTCTCAGGACGTCACCTTTGACGAGTCGGTACCCTTCTACCGTCTGTTCCCCTACCGCACTGCTCCGCTCCCTCCCCCGCCTCTCTTCCTCACCCCAGGTGCCCCTCCGGTAGACCCCCTCCCTCCCCAGGGTCCTGCTCCCTCAGGTGTTTCCCAGGTAGACGCGGTCGAGCCTGTCGAGGTAGCTGTTGACTCTGGTCCTGAGCGGGGTACTGAGCCTTGGGGTACTGAGACTGGGGGTGCTGAGCCTGGGGGTGCTGCGACTGCGGGTGCTGAGACTGGGGGTGCTGAGCCTGGGGGTGCTGAGACTTGGGGTGCTGCGCCTTTGAGTGCTGAGACTGAGGGTACTGAGACTGGGGGTACTGCGGCTGGGGGTGCTGAGCCTGAGGGTGCTGAGCCTGGGGGTACTGAGCCTAGGGGTACTGAGCCTGGGGGTGTTGACCCTGTTGGTGCTCCCTCTTCACAGCAGCTGCGTGAGTGGTACTCTCAGCGTTGCGGCCTCCGGCGTGGGGCTACTGGAGCTGCGAGTACTGTGTTGCGGCCGGAGCCTCCCTCCCCTCCGCGGCTACGTGAGTGGTACGCTCGGCGCTGCAGCCTCCGGAGTGGAGCTCCTAGTTTTGAGTTACCACCTGCTGGAGGCCCGGCTGCTCCTGGAGGTGCTTCTGGTGCTACTGGAGGTCCTGGAGCTGTTGGAGGTGCTACTGGTGCTGCTGGAGGTCCTGGAGCTGTTGGAGGTGCTGCTGGTGCTGCTGAAGGTACTGGAGCTGCTGGAGGTGCTTCTGGTGCTACTGGAGGTCCTGGAGCTGTTGGAGGTGCTGCTGGTGCTGCTGGAGGTACTGGAGCTGCTGCTGGTGCTGCTGGAGGTCCTGGAGCTGCTGGAGCTCCTAGTGGTGCTCCAGGTCCTGGGACTGGTGGTGCTGCTGGAGCTGGTGTTACTGGAGGTACTGGAGTTGACACTCCTGGAGGTGCTACTGGTGCTGCGGGAGTTGGAGCTGCTGCTGGGGGTTCTGGTGCTGTCTCTGCTGGTTCTGGGGGCACGTCACGGCCGCGGCCGTACTTCGTTCCGCTCCTTCAGCAGGTTCTTGGTCGGTCGCCTCCTCCTTGTCCTGCTCCCTCCTTAGAGTGTCCTTCGCCTGTCCGGTTGCAATCACAGTTACAGCCCGCCTCACCACTTCCTGGTCCTTCTCCCTACGCTGGTCCGACAGGAGGTCTTACGGAGCGTCGTCAGCCTGAGTCTCGTCCTGTGTCGCCTGAGTCTCGTTCTGCGTCACCTGTTAGTGCTGCTCGCCCTGGTCGTCGTGTCCCGCATCAGCGTCCTCCTGCTTTCCCCAGCACTCACCAGATGCTGCTTCGTCTTTCCACTGCTCCACGGCGTGTCCCTCTGCCTTCTCCTCCTGCGTCCTTCCTTCCTGCCCTTGCTGACCCAGAGTCTGACTCTCTTCGTGCTGCTCGTCCTACTGTCACGCGTCTCCTGTCCACAGTTGTCACTGACCCTTCCTTTGAGTCAGCTGCTGCGTCTGCCTTAGTTACTGAGCTTGTCGACTTTGCTGCTCACTGTAGACTAGACTACGCTGCCGGTCTTGTTGCTGAGTCTGAGTCTGTCTGTCCTCCGTCCGTCGGGGGTGAGTGTGCTCTTGGCACGGACGTCCTTGAGGACAGGCAGGAGGAGTTTGAGTGCTTTGCCGCCGCTGTACCTCATCTCGTGTCCATGCTGATTGCACCTGAGGGAGACCCGGATGCTCCAGACATCCCGACCCCACGCTCTTACGCTGAGGCGATCGCGGGTGAGTACTCCTCTCAGTGGCAGACAGCCATGGATGCAGAGATGGCATCCTGGAAGTCCACTGGCACTTACGTCGACGAAGTTCCCCCTCCTGGGGCGAACATCGTCAGTGGCATGTGGATTTTCAGGGTGAAGCGGCCGCCAGGTTCTCCGCCTGTCTTCAAGGCTCGGTACGTTGCTCGAGGCTTCAGTCAGCGGCAGGGAGTAGACTTCTTTCAGACCTTCTCCGCCACCCCGAAGATGACCACTCTTCGGGTGCTGCTGCACGTTGCCGCTTAGCGTGACTACGAGCTTCACTCTCTTGACTTCAGCACAGCTTTCTTGCAGGGCAGCCTGCACGAGGAGATCTGGCTGCGCCGCCCTCCTGGATCCACTGGGTCGTTTCCTCCTGGTACCCAGTGGAGCCTCCGGCGGCCGGTCTACGGTCTCCGCCAGGCTCCACGTGAGTGGCACGACACACTGAGGACTACACTTGCGGCTCTTGGGTTCTCGTCTTCTACTGCCGACCCGTCGCTGTTCCTGCGCGCCGACACTTCACTGCCGCCGTTCTACATCCTCGTGTACGTCGACGACTTGGTCTTTGCCACTGCTGACACTGAGGCTCTCGCCCACGTGAAGTCGGAGCTGCAGAAGAGACACACGTGCACAGACCTGGGTGAGCTGACAAGCTATCTTGGCTTGCGGATCACCCGGGACAGAGCACGCCGCACCATCACACTGACTCAGTCACACATGGTGCAGCAGGTCCTTCAGCGCTTCGGCTTCACCTGGTCCTCAGCACAGGCCACTCCTCTGGCTATAGGTCACTCGCTCTCAGCTCTGCCTTCGGATGAGTCCGTAGAGCCGAGTGGTCCTTACCCAGAGCTAGTTGGTTGCCTCATGTACCTGATGACTTGCACTCGTCCTAACCTAGCATACCCTCTTGGCCTTCTGGCCCGCTATGTGGCTCCTGGCAGGCACCGAAAGGTGCACTAGGATGCTGCAAATAGGGTATTGCGCTACTTGTGCAGTACATCGGGCATGGGGCTCGTGCTTGGAGGGAGGCGCTCAGTTGTTCTCACTGGGCACTCAGACGCTTCTTGGGTTGACGACCAGGCTACTCAGCGGTCGTCACAGGGTTACACCTTCAGCCTTGGCTCTGGTTCAGTTTCTTGGCGTTCTACTCGCTCGTCTTCAGTTCTTAGCTCCAGTTGTGAGGCTGAGATCTACGCCACAGCCATGGCTGCACAGGAGTTACGCTTGCTGACCTACCTGCTGACCGACTTGGGAGAGCGGCCTAGTTCTCCTCCAGTGCTGTACGTCGATAACAAGGCTGCCATTGCCTTGTGTGAGGAGCACAGACTGGAGCACAGAACGAAGCACATCGCCCTCCGTTACTTCCTGGCTCGGGAGCTGCAGCAGCGCGGTCAGCTTTGTCTGCGCTACGTGGCCACTCGGGCCAACACCGCTGATATATTCACCAAGGCACTTCAGCCTGGTGATCATCAGCGCTTCTGCACTGTACTGGGGCTTGTGCCCACTGTTCCTCACTTACTGTAGGCTTTGTCTGTACTGTGATCTCTATATATATATACCTGCTTGTTTGTTTTGTTAGGTTGAGATCACCTTGCTGTTTGTGTTGTATATATGCCTCTGCATTTGAACTGGCCCTGTGGCCCTTTGCTTGTGCTCAGATTGTGTGGTGACGTTGTGATCCACCCTGAGCTTGCTTTGCCTTTCTTGACTGGTCTTGTGACCCCTTGCTCTCCCCCACTTTGCCTATGGGGGTGTGTCAAACATTATCTATATGTTATTGTTGTGTAGGCTATAGTGCGTTAGCCTTTAGGGGGTACACAACTCTAGGGTTTCATACTTGTACTCCAATCTTTCATAGTTCAATCACTTCTTGATTATGACAAACCCTTCGGGCTTTAACCTCATGTGGTCCAGTTATTAAGGCTTAATCACCATGGGCACTAATGCCCGTTCATGTCTTGAAACATGAACATGTGGACAATTATTTCGTTCAGTGTATAACTGCCTGTAGGATTTACTGTAGTGTAGCTCCTATTGTTTGGTGGTGCACCTTTGTTCATTTTGCTATATGTACCTTGTGTGCTATAGTGAAACCCATCATTCCCCTTTCCAATTCTCTCGACACTCAACTCCCTCGACACTCACTAGCCATGGCTCCTAAGTCATGCTAGGATTCTAACAGAGAGTGCATAAGCTGGTGGTTAGCAAATCACAGGGGAGATTGTTGAAGGTGGTTAGCTAACCATGACCTAGCACAACCTGGAGCAACCTACATCGACCTAAGAAAAACCTACAGACTAAGGGAAGGCAAGGACCTAAGAAGAAGATAAGCTACTTATGTTGGGGCGGTGGAAGAAGGAATACGGCAGCGGCGAAACCTATGGTGAGAAACGAAGTGAAGAAGAGGAAGCGTGCAGACGTGGAGAAGGACACGGTTGAAATGTCGAGATTTCAAGTGAAGTGAAGAGAAGTCCCGCCGGGTCAAAGGCGCGTCCAAGGAAGTCTGAAATTCGAACTCGAGACGCGTTCGGCGCATGGTTGGATTTGGAAATCGAGCCGAGTACAACTCGCTCGAAATTAGGCGCGGCGTGAGGGCGAAATCAGAAATCCTTTTGCTTATCACTTGCTTTGTGTTCTCTGTTTTTGGATGTCTTCTTCAATGAAATCACTGGAACTTTTTGTCTTGATGTTTTTCAGCAAATTCCTTCACACATTTGAGGCCAGAGCTTCCCATGCAAGCTACTAAGAATCTAATTAGTCTTCATAGTCTATACTACAGGCTGCCCACATACAAGACTCCCAGCTGCTGCCTGTGCTGGTGCTGGCTGCCATGGTTGCTCTCCTCGCTTCTGCGCCTGCCGCTAACGCCGCTAACGGAGTTAACTACATCAAGAGCGGCCTCGACTGGGAGGTAAGAGCTCGAGGAAAGCAAAATGCAATTCCGAGAATCATCAAAAGTCACCCATCAACAGCATGTTGGCGGAAGAGACAGCAGCAAAGCGTCTGTTACTTAATCGCCTATACAATACACTTCTGGAAATCCCCTCACCCCTTTCCTCCCAACCTCACCTCTCCCCTTTCGCCCATCCCAGGGCGTGTGCGCGTCGGGCGAGAGGCAGTCGCCCATCAAGATAGTATTGGACGAGGCACGGACAGTGAGCGACACGGAGAGGTTCCATCTGGACTATGACACGTCAGCCACCACAGCTACAGTTGTCAACAAGGGATACACCGTCCGTGATTGATATGCCAAATGTCGTATCCACTCCGTATTTGGTATTACCCATACAAATCCTTGCGCATCTTGGGTTTCCCTTTTCTTGTGGCTCAGTCCGGCTCCTCGCAATTCTCCTTCTTGAACCTCCTCCCTGTCCACCTGCCCTCCCCCTTCTCCATCCCCTCTCGATCATTCAGAGGTGGTTCCAAGCCCATCCAACACCTACAGGCTGCACATATCCAGCGGCACCTATCAGCTGAAACAGGTGCATGTGCACTCGTTCTCAGAGCACGCAATCAACGGGCTCTTTGCTCCCATGGAGGCCCACTTCGTGCATGCACACATCGACAACACCTCCCAGCTTGCTGTCATCGGTGTCATGCTGAGACTCCATCGGGACGACCAGGCGAGCCCGTGGGTGGATGCATGGCTGCCTAAGACCCCCTATGGGCTGGACGCAACGGCGGGGATTGATGTTGCCGGGAGTTTTTGGAGGGAGATGATGGATTTGTCCATGGGGCTTTGGAGGTATCCCGGCTCGCTTACCACTCTGGGCTGCGATGAGATAGTTGAGTGGCGCGTGCTGGGCAAGGCCAAGTTCCTCTCTGTGGACCAGGTGGGTGACCTGACCTGTGACTTGATGTTTTTGCGACCTGTTGCCTGGCCAATACCCATGCCTTCTCCCCCTGTTGGACCTTAATGCTTTGCCAGCCTTACATTTCTTCGCTAATTCCTCCATGCCCGTTCTCACTGTTTTTTACGTGCCCTTTGTTTGAAACCCTTTTGTTCACCTCGCAGGCTTTTCATGAATCTGATGGGAAAGATGAACAAGGAGCGCACCAATAACCGCCTGCCAGACCCACTCCATGGCAGGGAGGTCACCTATTTCACTACAGTCACCGCATAACCAACACCACTGTCTAGTTTTTCTAGAAATGCTTAGTTGCGTCTGATTTTCTTTATGCTGGTTGAAAGTGTACGACCTTGATTACCGAATCTTGCTTGCGGCGTATATGAGTGCATTACTGGAACCATGGATAAATGCATCGATTGAAACGCTATTGAAATTGGTTGTGTGGGTCAACATAAATGAAGCTGCACCTCTTTAGTCATCTTGCAAATTAGGACAGGATGAGATGAGAGGTCGTTATTTCCTTCATAATGCTGCATTTTGCTACCTCCTAAAATAGAGAAGACTGTGTTGGCCTCTATATGAACATGTATAATGTTTGACACACCCCCATAGGCTAAGTGGGAGACAACCAGATGGTCACAAGACCAGTCAAAGCAAAGCAAAGCAAGCTCAGGGTGGATCTCAAGGAAACCACACAAATTCCGAGCACAAGCAAGTGGTCACAAGACCAGTTCACATGCAGTTTGATAATATAACAAGAGGTACAGTGATCACAACCTAACAAGAGTAAACATGCAGGTATATATATATAGAGATCACAGTACAAGCAGAGTCAAGAAGTGAGCAAGTGAGGGAGAGTAGGCACAAGGCCTAGAACAGTACAGAAACGCTGATGGTCACAAGGCTGAAGCGCCTTGGTGAACACATCAGCAGTGTTGGCCCGAGTGGCCACGTAACGCAGACGAAGCTGACCACGCTGCTGCAGCTCTCGAGCAAGGAAGTAGCGCAGAGCGATGTGCTTCGTCCTGTGCTCCAGTCTGTGCTCCTCACACAAGGCAATGGCGGCCTTGTTGTCAACGTACAGCACTGGAGGAGAACGAGGCCGCTCTCCCAGGTCGGTCAGCAGGTAGGTGAGCCAGCGTAACTCCTGTGCAGCCATGGCTGTGGCGTAGATCTCAGCCTCACAACTGGAGCTGAGAACAGAAGAAGAGCGAGTAGAACGCCAAGAAACTGAACCAGAGCCAAGGCTGAAGGTGTAACCCTGAGACGACCGCTGCGTAGCCTGGTCGTCAGCCCAAGAAGCGTCTGAGTGACCCGTGAGGACAACGTCGCTCCGACCTCCAAGCACGAGCCCCATGCCCGACGTACTGCACAAATAGCGCAACACCCTCTTAGCGGCATCCATGTGCTCCTTCCGGTGACGGCCGGGAGCGACATAGCGTGCTAGGATGCTAAGAGGGTATGCCAGGTCAGGTCGAGTGCAGGTCATCAGGTACATGAGGCAGCCCACAAGCTCTGGATACGGGCCACTCGGCTCTACGGACTCATCCGAAGGCAGAGCTGAGAGCGAGTGACCGGTAGGCAGAGGAGTGGGCTGAGGCGAGGAGTACGTGAAGCGGAAGCGCTGAAGGACCTGCTGCACCATGTGTGACTGAGTCAAGGTGATGGTGCGCTGTGCTCTGTCCCGGGTGATCCGCAAGCCAAGATAGCTTGTCAGCTCACCCAGGTCTGTGCACGTGTGTCTCTTCTGCAGCTCCGACTTCACGTGGGCGAGTGCCTCAGTGTCAGCAGTAGCAAAGACCAAGTCGTCTACGTAAACAAGAACGTAGAACGGCGGCAGAGTGGTGTCGGTGCGTAGAAACAGCGACGGGTCAGCAGTAGAAGGAGCAAACCCAAGAGCAGCAAGAGTAGTCCTCAGTGTGTCGTGCCACTCACGGGGTGCCTGGCGGAGACCATAGACTAGCCGCCGGAGGCTCCACTGGGTACCAGGAGGGAACGACCCAGTGAAGCCAGGTGGGCGGCGCAGCCAGATCTCCTCGTGCAGGCTGCCCTGTAAGAACGCAGTGCTGAAGTCAAGAGAGTGGAGCTCGTAGTCACGCTGAGCAGCGACGTGCAGCAGAACCCGAAGAGTGGTCATCTTCGGGGTCGGGGAGAAGGTCTGGAAGAAGTCAACTCCCTCTCACTGACTGAAGCCTCGTGCAACGTAACGCGCCTTGAAGACAGGCGGAGAACCCGGCGGCCGCTTCACCCTGAAAATCCACATGCCACTGACGATGTTCGCCCCAGGTGGGGGAACCTCGTCGACGTAGGTGCCTGTGGACTTCCAGGAAGCCATCTCTGCATCCATGGCTGTCTGCCACTGAGAGGAGTAGGGACCCTCCATCGCCTCTGCGTAGGAGCGTGGGGTCGGGATGTCTGGTGCATCCGGGTCTCCCTCAGGGGCAACTAGCATGGACACGAGATGAGGCAAAGCAGCGGCAAAGCACTCAAACTCCTCCTGTCTGTCCTCAAGGACGTCCGTGCCAAGAGCACACTCACCCCCGACAGACGGAGGACAGACAGACTCAGACTCAGACTCAGCAACAAGGCTAGCGGCGTAGTCTAGACGACAGGCAGCAGCAAAGTCAACAAGCTCATCGACTAGAGCAGACGCAGCAGAGGACTCAAAGGAAGGGTCGGTGACAGCAGTGGCAAGGAGACGCGTGACAGTAGGACTGGCAGCACGAAGAGAGTCAGACTCCGGGTCAGCAAGAGCAGGAAGAGAGGACGCTGGTGGAGACGGCAGTGGGACACGCTGTGGAGCAGTAGATGGACGCAGGGTCATATAGTGAGTGCCAAGGACAGGAGGAGGACGCTGACGTGGAACACGACGACCAGCGCGGACAGCGCGGACAGGCGACTCTGGACGCGACTCAGACGACTCTGGACGAGTCTCAGGCGACGGAGGACGAGACTCAGGCTCACGACGCTCCGTAAGACCTCCCGTCGGCGCAGTGTAGGGAGAAGGACCAGGAAGTGGAGAGACTGGCTGTAACTGTGACTGCGACTGGACAAGCGGTGGACTCAGTAGGGGAGGAGTAGGACCAGGAGAGGGCGGAAGGCCAAGAACCTGCTGAAGGAGCGGAACGTAGTACGGCCGTGGCCGCTCAGCACCTCCAGCTCCAACCCCCTCAGCAGGGCCAGTCCCAGCAGCTCCAGCAGCACCGCCAGCAGCAGCAGGGTCCCCAGCAGCTCCAGTTGTCAAAATAGATTTATATCTATTTAGTATAATCTGCCTGTAGTGTAGCTGTTGTGTAATTCTCTTGTATGGTGGTGCACCTTTTTCACCTTTGTTAGGTTGCTATATGTACTCGTGTGCTATAGTGAACCTCCAACCATTCTTCAATTCTCCTTGGCACAAACTACTCGACACCCGCTTGGCCTAGGCTACTAAGCCTAGGCCTTTAGTTAAACCCGGTTCCTAAGTTAAGATCGTATTGTAACATGGTATAGAGCCTAAAAGTTCCTAGTGCCTGCAGTCTTTTATTTCCAATGGGCCCACCAATAGCCTTAGCCATGACCCGCGTGCAGCTGCCTCGTCGCGCATGCCAGCGCTCTAGCGAGCCCACTGGCAAGATCGCCAACGCATTCGCCATCGAGCGCGCCAGCGACCCACGAGCAAATCAGCCAGCGGACCCCCAGACGGCCTCGCCAACAAGTGAGCCAGCGGACCCGCGGGTCCGCCAGAAAACCAGCCAGCGGACCCGTGAGTCCGCCAGAAAACGCGCCAGCGAAAACGCCAGCAAAATCGCAAGCGAAATCGCCAGCGGCCCGCCAGCGAAATCACCACGCACCTGCGACTCCGTCCGTCTCCCCGTTTTTTGTCGCCCCAGCCGCTCCTTCGCCCGCCGTCGCTCTGCCCGTCGCATTCCCCCTGCCCCCTGCCCGTCACCCCCCCCCCGTCGCGACTGTTTGCGTGTGCACCGGCGGTCGCCGTGGGGAGGAGAGGGAGGAGGGGAAGGGAGTGGCGGCGGAATGATGTGGGGAGGAGAGAGAGGAGGGGAAGGGAGTGGCGGCGGAACGCTGTGCGGGGGAGAGGAAAGGGGGGAAGGGAGTGGCGGCGGCACATCAGCGACGACCGCCAGCGCACCGTCGATCGCACCAGCGCTCGCGCGCCCTTTGCTGCTGCAGCCCGTCCCCTGCACACCGTCAGATCCCGCCCGGCCTGTAGCCCGCTGCCGCTCCTTAGCCCGTCACATTACCCGCGCCCCATGCCCGTCCCCCCCCCCCCCCCGTCGCGGCTGTTCGCGTGTGCAGCGGCGGTCGCTGTGTGGGGGAGAGAGAAACGGGGAAGGGAGTGGCGGCGGATCGCTGTGGGGGGGAAGAGGGCAAAGGGGAAGGGAGTGGCGGCGGAACGCCAGCGACGACCGCCTGCGCACCGGCGATCGCGCGTCACCTGCTGCTGCAACCCGTTGGCCGCGCGCTGCCCGTTCCTGCAGCCTACCGCTCGCGCCGCCGCCCGCCCATCCCCTCCTCCTCCCCCCACCCCCCCCCCCCCCCCTCCCCCCATCGCCCCCACCCACGCTCCCGCCAGCTCCAGCCGCGCTTGCGACTGCTACCGTGCTAGCTCGAGGTGGTGGGGGTGGCGGCCAGTGGGGAGGCAGCGGGTGTGGAGGCGGAGGTGGTGGGCTGTTGGGGGGAGGGTAAGGAGGTGCCAAGAAGGATTCTGCAGCCTCAACCGCCTCCTCCTCCTCTCCCTCTCAGTCTCGCATCTGCTACTGTGGGGGGAGGATGAAGGTGTGTGGGAGTGGAACCGCACCCCCATCCGCTGCCACCACACCTCCTCCTCGTTTTCGCTGCCACTACTACTGCTGTGGGAGGGAGGTTCAGGGGGTGTGGGTGGTGAGAGTTCAACTGCAGCATCATCCGCCTCCTCCTCCCATCCCTTGCCGCCCGTGCCTTGCTGTCCACCCGTGCTTCCGCCCGTGTTCCCCGTTCTTGCCCCACCCGTTTCACCCGTGCTGTCCGTACCCGGTTGTGCCCCACCCGTTTCACCCGTGCTGTCCGTACCCGGTTGTGCCCCACCC